AGAAAAAAGCCAGAAGTGGCGCTGTGGCTCAAGTGGTAGAGCGCTAGCCTTGAGCTGAAGAGCTGAGGGACAGCGCCCAGGCCCAGAGTTGAGGCAGGCTCCACCACTGGACCCCCCAAAAAAAAAAAGAGACAACCCAAAGTCATTCTAAATTGGTAAATAACCACTAGACTGTTTTTCTTAGAAGTATGGTACTATATGCTGGGTTCCTGTGGCTCAATACCTATAATCCTAACAACTCAGGATGCTGAGATCTGAAGATCTGAGGATCCCGGTTCAAAGACAGCCTGGACAGGAAAGTCCTTGAGACTCATATCCAGTAAACCACTCAGAAAACCAGAAGGGTGCTGTGGCTCATGTGGTAGAGCGGCCTTGAGCTGAGGGAGAGTCCAGGCCCAGAGTTCAAGCCCATGACCTGCCCCTCAAAAAAGATAGCCAAACTGGGAGGAAAGTCTGAGACTCTAATATGGGGAGGGGGGAGCCTGAATGGAGCTGTGGCTTAAGGAGTAAAAGCTCAGGGACAATACTGACTTCAGGCCCCAGGACTGGCACCTAAAAAAAAGTATGGTACAATTGGTACCGTGTAATTTTAATTTTTTTTTTTAACTAAAATTTCCAGGATCGATTCTGGGCAAGTCTAGCAGATTTGTCTAAAGGATTGTGTCTGTGTTCCGGTACTGGGGCATAATACTCTTCAGATTTTTTGCTCATGACTTGTGTTCTGCCACTTGAGCCACACATCTAACCAGCATTTTTCAGGTTAATTAGGGATGGAATTTCTCAAATGTTTCTTCTGGGCTTGCATCAAACCTGCTCCCTGCCATTTGATAAAGGGATTTTAGGTATCATTCCAACCCCTTCTTCTCTACCATGTCTTTTCTTTGGCAAGACTGGGAATTAAACCCAGGGCCTTGCCCAGAGGAGGCAGAAAGTTATGCCACTCATCTACACCCTGACACCACCTTTTCATCAGGTTACTTTTACCAGCTGACCTGTAGTTAGCCCTGTCTTTTAGGATCTTAAGAAGTAGTATCACTTGTTCTTAAAAAATGCTTAGATAACATGGTGAATTAACAGTTTATTTATGCATGTAGTTATTTTCATATCAGGTTTGAAAGTTTTGATTTAGATCTATACTTCAGAGATAATTCTGGGCATTTAGTTTCCTTACCAAATTAAAGCCTTCAGCTTTTACACACACTAGGGAAACCAAAATATTTAGGGATTTTTACAGCTTGACTCATCAAAAAAACAATTTCTTTAGGAGAAAATAATTCTGAAACTGAGGATTCTGACTTCGGTGGTCCCACCTGGGATCGGGGAGCCAACTTAAAGGATTACTACTCAAGAAAGGAGGAGCAAGAAGTGCAAGCGGTAAGGCTCCAAACCTCTATTCTATCTATAGATAGGTAATTTGGGACTTATTTACAGTAAGGTTGTACTTTTATAAGTTAATAATTTGATAATTGTCTTAAGTGATTACTTGAAACTATCATTGTTCATGAAAACCACTGTATGTATAAATTGGCCAAAAACAAATCTGCTCTTAAAAGTTGTCTGTTAAGCGCTACATTTTTGCTGTTAATAAAAGATTTTTCTGCTTTTTAGAGAATGCAATTTTCTTGGGGAAATTCATAAGCATACATAATAATATGCCTTGTTTTTCCATTATATTTGAAGTAGTAAGACAAACACAAAAATTGTCAAATTTTAAGAAATAGTTTATTAAAAGTGAAAGTTTTGACAATGGATAGAGCCTTCAATTACATTAAAAAATTAATGTGGTTGAGAAGGATTATAAACTATTCTGGTTTTTTTGAGATAGGATCATACTGTGTGGCTCAAGTTGGCCTTGAACTCACAATCCCCCTTTTTCTGCCTCCCAAGTGCTGGGTACTGGGCATACCCCAACATGTTCAGCTCAGAGGTGGTTCTTAACCAATTTCTAAGCTGGATGTGGTGGCAAATGCCTGTAGTCCTTCACTTAAGAGCCAGAGACAGCAGGATCATGAGTTAAATGCTAGCCTGAGCTACATAGGATTCTGTCTCAAGAAACTAAAGGCTAGGGATGTAGTTCAGTTGTAAAGTGCTTGCTTAGCACTGTGCTTTCATTCCCAGCACCACAACTGAACTTAATTGCATTATAAGATAGTACAAAGAAAATGCTAGTGTAAATACCTGTATTTAAAGTATGCATAACCAAAGTAGTGCAGCCAAATTTAATCATCATTGATTCCACAGACTTTAGAGTCAGAAGAAGTGGATTTAAATGCTGGGCTTCATGGAAACTGGACCTTGGAAAATGCTAAGGCTCGTCTGAACCAGTATTTCCAAAAAGAAAATATCCAAGGAGAATATAAGTACACCCAAGTGGGTCCAGATCACAACAGGTTTGCTTGTTTCACTCTTTTTTTCCTTCTATAATAAGTTATGGATGTTTGGATATTCATTACCCACTTGTATTTTAATGTGGATCAGGCATGAATTATGGAAAGCACAATAAATTACCCTTCTACAAGAATTACTGACTTTATTGTGCAGTTTATTGTGTGGTTTTGCTTTTGCTGTAATGTTAAATGTGTAAGAGTTCTGAGTTTCTCATTTGAATGTGAGACGCAAATGTCACCACCACAAGTAACCAGCAGTTGATGGTGATTTGGCTAATGTATTATTAGAGGCATTTAAAAATACTACATATTTAATAGGTCAAGTTAGATGTGTATGTAAGTTTTGTAGATTGTATTGCCTCTAGTCCAAATGTCAATTCAGTTTGAAAGTTTCCAGCTCACAGGCCTGTCGAAGTCTGAGGGCTGTAAAGTTGAAGGACAGCCTCATTCTTTGTATGTGGTTTAAATTAGTAGACATTTTCTTTTTCTGTTAAATTTATAAAATTGAACATAAAGGCCAGTTGCTATGTGACAGTATGTTTCTCAGCCTGCTTGCTGTTATTCCTAAGAGCATTCCAGGGTGTAGTGCTTATTACTCCCAGGAAGGCTCATATGGATTAGATTCTTATGGGGGCACTATTTTTATTGGAATAGATGGGATGTTGTGGAAACCTAATGATTCGATTTGATATTCTTAATTTACAAAATTTTTTTCAAAATACATTGAAAATACATTTTTCCTGAAAATTAAAACATTCTACAACTCTAAAATAATTACTAAAATAAAATTTTGACATCATCAAAAGGATGATCAGAGCATAGCTCCTCCTGCTTCCCACTGTTTTGTTTAGTCCTGAATTCTTAAATTCTGTGCTTCTAAATCTGATGTCAGATTTTTCTAAACCTTGAGTTTATAAATGAAAGACAAATTTGTTTCATTTTAAAAGTATTTTTTGTCTTATTTAATTGGGCTTAACAGCTCTTAATAATTTTAAGAACAATAAGATACCTGTGCCTTAAGCTCATTGTTGCAATTGCAACCTTTTTTTTATGTCAGTATCTTATTGATTTCTGATCCAAAGAAATAATTCAGGACAAGACAACATAGGAGGCTGACAGTTGGGGGAGCTGAGACAACATTGCTCTATGTATGTCCTTTATTGAAAGGCATAATAGACAGCAACACCAGAGGTCTGTGTTCATATACACATGTGCTGATGCTTAGGCTGAACTAAGCAATCACATGGAAAACTATTGTAAACTGATTTCTGGTGTCGCTGTTCCCCCTAGGTGGAGGAGAATGAGATTGAGTGCTGACTTTAAAGCCTGGCTGAGAAACATATTGTCATCGGTGTCATTAATGAAAGGGTGGATGTTGTTTCCCTGAAAGCCAGTGACCTTTGACCCCTGAAGCCCTTGTGCCTGAAGGTCAGTTCTTGAAGTATAGGAAGGAGACTAACATTTTTTTCTTAAGCTTCATCTAACCTTTTACTCACAGCACAAAGTTCAGAATGTACCTGAGCAGCGAAAGGATCAGAATATATAATTTCTAAAGTGAATTATTTCCCTTGCTTAATACCCCCAATTCATTCCTTGCTATCTGTTAGAATTAAGCCATGAGAAAAAATACTTTTCATTCCTAGGGCCTGATTTAAGTATATGGTATATATTAAATTTCTTACCAAGGGCTACTTCTAACTATAGGGAGAGTAGAATACTGTCCCAAGAGCTACTGGAACAATTAATGAGTGTTGGTATACATTAGCCTATTTTAGCAGATTTTATCCATAATGAGTGGCCTATCCACCTGGATCTTAAGCTAATCACAATTATAATTTGGAGAGTTTGTTGCCTGCTCTTATTTTTTGGCTTAAAGCTAAGTAGAAAGTTCCTTTCCTTTGAAAGTATTCTAGCTAATCTGCCACCAACCTTTGGAATGACAGTAAGTAAATATGAAATCTAAAACACTAACATTTTCTTTTTATGAACAATAGGCTCATCAACTGATAACTGTCTCGTGCCATGTTGTATATTATGCAAAGTTTACATATTTTTTTCTAGGTTTGGATAGAAATAAATGTTAATAGCGCGCCTTTTTTGCTATGATTTGCCTAAAGCAGTTAGAAAGCCTCCTTTGGGAGACTTAGTATTTTTTTTCCTGAAATTTCTAATCTTGTTTGTATGTTTTTACAGGAGCTTTATCGCAGAAATGACCATTTATATCAAGCAGCTGGGCAGACGTAAGTTACTATTTACTTGATCTTTAAGTTTAGAGAGATTTTTCAAACTTAAAATATTGAGCTACTATTGTAAGCTGTATTAATGTATGATGTTAGATAACACTAGGGAAGTTTGATATGTGGAGGTTTGATAACTTAATAAAATATATCATACCATATTCCTACTTAAGAGCCTGAGATAGGGAAGTTAATCCAAATAGAAGTTAAATACTTGTTCTGAACTAGGAGCTGCTCAGGATGGCTTTTGCCAGTCGTCATGGACAGTGTAGTCAGATCATGGTCCAGATATATGCCAAGGTTGAAGAGTTACTCAGGGGGACATACAAGGAATGGATTGAAAAAGTTAAGATAGGATGGTGTGTTTTTTGTTGTTAGGCCTGATGGTGTTATGCTCAAAAGAATAGCACATTTCTCCTTTTTATGTGCTGGTCTTGGAGCTTGGGCCCTAATGTTATTCCTGTGCTTTTGTGCTTAAATCTTGAACTCTACTACTTGAGCCACACAGCTCCACTCCTAGTTTTTTGGTGATTATTTGGAGATACAAGTTTCATAGACTTTACTGTCTGAGAGCTGGCTTCAAACTGATCTTTCAGATGGCACCCTCTTGAGTAGCTAGGATTACAGGTTTGAGCTACCAGCACCTGGCCTAATTTTGTTACTAACAAGTATTGTGTGACCTTGAATAAATCATACATTACATTGTGGGGCTCAGCTTACAAGTTTAAAGAGAGAGACTAATCTTTTCCTGCTTTAATGATTTATAAGTTGTAGAATTTAATTGGGCTAGTGAATAGAATGAAAAGAAATTAAAACTTTAGGCATACTATTGTATTTTAAGGCTTCTTTGATATGTTAGTACCTAATAATGTCATAATGTTCTTTACTAAGGAGTAATTCTGCTATTGTTAATCCTGAACTTAACATTTTTTAGGTATTTTTGCACGTGAACATGGATCAAATAAGAAGTTGGCAGCACAGTCCTGTGCTCTATCACTTGTTAGACAACTCTACCATCTTGGAGTGATTGAAGCTTATTCTGGACTGACAAAGAAAAAAGAGGGAGAGAGAGTAAGTTATTTACATATTTTGTGTGTCAGTGCTACAGCTTGAATTCAAGACTTGGCTTCTATCCTCAGTTTTTTTCTACCTAAAAAGTCTAGCAGTCTACCATACTCCTTCTGGCTTTATGTTAATTGGAGATAGGAGTCTTATGGACTTTCCTGTCTGGGTTGGCTTTGGACTGTAATGTTAGTCTTCTGAGTAAAGATTTTAGTCTTCTGAGTAAAGATTACACCACTAGAGCCTGGTTTGGGTTACTTAAGTTTAATAACTTAAGAGTTGTGGGCTTGGCTGAGTGATAGAGCCCTCTACTTATCAAGGTGGGGTCTTGCCTAAACATAATAGCTTCATAGGTTAGATTTTACTATTTGGCTAAGTTGTATAGTTAGACATCTCGTCCAAAATTAAAGTTAACCCAGGTACAGCAGCTATAATCAATCCCAGCTACTCCAGAGGTATGGGATAAAATGATTTTAGTTTGAGGCAACCCTGGGCCAATTTAAAAATCCTAGTGTGAGGAAACATACTCTACATCCTAATGAGGCAGGAAGCATTAAGAGGATGGTATCTTTCCAGACCAACTCCCCCCAAAAGTGATATACTGTATTCAAGAAATAGTAGCTGGGCGCCGATGGCTCACACCTGTAATCCTAGCTACTCGGGAGGCTGAGATCTGAGGATTGGAATAAGTTAAAAAAAAATAGTAAAAGAAAACAACTGACAAGGTTCAAGTGATAGTTCTTAGCTTTTGTGCAGCTGTATATGGGCCTAAAAAAGATAGGAAGTTAACATGGAATAGATTTTACTAATCAATTGTCTTCTGTGACAAAATGCTGTTAATAGTGGGTAGAGTTTCAAACTTTTGAAGTCATTGTCTCATTAAAAGTTTAATTGGGGTTTACTCTTGTCAGCTGTATACTCAGCTCTACGATATTAGTACGATTGTGTTCATATTACCTAGATTAATAATTACTCATTTTTTTCTGTAGGTGGAGCCTTACAAAGTTTTCCTCAATCAAGATTTAGAGCTTCAACTGCAAAATGTTGTCCAAGAGCTGAATCTTGACATTGTGCCCCCGGTAAGTATGTAGGCTTTTTAGTCACCTCATGTAGAACATGTCTAATTTAAGAACTGATTTTTTTTAATGATTTTTAATTTTTTTTAAATTTAATAGCCTGTTGATCCTACTATGCCAGTCCAGCTCAACATGGGAAAATTAGCTCAGTTTGAACCATCACAGAGGCAAAATCAAGTAGGTGTGGTTCCATGGTCACCTCCACAGTCCAACTGGAATCCTTGGACTAGCAGCAACATTGATGAGGGGCCTTTGGCTTTTGTGAGTATAATGTTCTTGTTGATATGTCTTACGTTTTACCTTATCAGTGGATGTGTTACTTAAGGCAAGCATGGATATCTTTTTATTTGTTTTTTGCCAAAGCCCATTTATAGATAACATCAAAGACCATACAAAATTGTCAATAAGACAAGCTTAGGTGCATAACATTCTTTGTGTGACCTACAGTATCAGAGAGATTCCCCACTTTTAGGACCATTGTTGCAGAAAACCCAGGCATGCTCAAGATGCAGAGGTCAATGCTTTACTACAAGTGCTGAGTGTTCACTATACTGATAATACTGTTGAGTTTATGCTGAACCCTGGTCCTCAAGTCTCAGTCTCCTGATTGTGATTATAAATTTGTACCACCAGTGCCAGCTGGGCTATTCTATTTTTTTGGTCCATCATGGAGATTTAACTCTGGGCCTGGGTGCTGACCTTGAGCTATCACTCAAGGCTAGAGCTATACCACTTTGTGCCAAAGTGCCACTTCGAGTTTTTTGGTGACTAATTTAAAATAAATCTCAGGCATTTCCTGCCTGGGACAACATCAGACACAATGATCCTCAGATTTCAGCGTCCTGGATAATTTTAAGATCACAGGCATGAGCCACTAGTACCCCGCTTAGGCTATTTTTCTATAATTCCAAAAATTTCTCTTAATCTTTAATCACAGCAAATTAATTTGAAATTTGCTTTGGGGACACTTTTTGGCTGGTGGGGAGGTAGCATATTTTCCTAAAATGCTAGGGAAGCAGTGCTAAGGGGGTGGATGAGACCTGTCTCCAGAATTGCATACTGAATGGATTGAGAATTTAAGATTTTGCTTGTTTTTAAGTGTGTTTTATCAAAATCATGTATAACAGATCTACCACTAAGGCAGATTTAATTGTACTTCGCTGCTATATCATGAATTCTGCATTTCTATTTTTACAGGCAACTCCAGAACAAATAAGCACAGATCTCAAGAATGAATTAATGTACCAGATGGAACAAGATCATAATTTGCAAGCTGTAAGTCTGAAACAGTCTTCTAGTTACAGGTAGAAGATAGCAAATAGGAAGGAGGGAAAAACTGGGAGAAAATGAGGGAGATGGTGGCACTGTTCAAAAGGAAATACACTCATTCCCCAACTTATTTAACCCTGTACAATAAGATAGCAGATAATGTTTGTTCCTTCATAAGAAGACAGATAAAAGTCCCTACACCCTTAGATAAACGAGACTGGGAGAAATGATTGTCTTTAGTATATATTATAATTGGAAAAATTTGACATTTTTTTTGGTGTGGTTTCTCAATAGGATTAAGGAACTGCTAGTGAAATTTTACTGATTTAATACTTTTCCAACACAGGTCTTACAGGAAAGAGAGTTACTGCCTGTGAAGAAATTTGAAAGTGAAATCCTGGAAGCAATTAGTCAAAATTCAGTAGTTATTATCCGGGGGGCTACTGGATGTGGCAAAACCACACAGGTTCCACAGTTCATTTTAGATGACTTTATTCAGAATGACCGAGCTGCAGAATGTAATATTGTAGTAACTCAGGTAAGTAACAAGCCATAAGTGTGGATAGCTGGAAAGAAATCCCTAATCTCCAGTATCCTATGCTAGTAAGCTAGACAGGAGTTAAAGGGAATCATTGGTAATCACTTCCCAATACTAGTTATTTCTATATTAAGTAAAAACTAAACAACAAAATAGGTAATGGTTAATATTTACTGTGTTCCACACACAACTCTAAAAACTTGATTCCCCCTCCATACCCCCCCCCCCCCCCCCCCCCCCCCCCCCCCCCCCTCCCCCCCCCCCCCCCCCCCCCCCCCACCCCCCCCCCCCCCGGTCATGTGGCTGAACTCTGTCCCTCAGTTCTTCAGCTCAAGGCTAGCATTCTGCCACTTGAGCTCTACTGCATCACTTCCAGTTTTGAGTGGTTTATTGGAGCTGAGTCTCATGGACTTCGCTGCCCTGGCTGGCTTGGAGCCAGGATCCTCAGATCTCAGCCTCCTGAGTAGCTAGGATTATAGGTGTGAGCCACTGGCACCTGACAATTTTTTTTTTTGGGTCCTGTTGTGGGCCTGAACTCTGGGCCTGGGCGCTGTCCCTCAGCTCTTCAGCTCAAGGCTAGCACTCTACCACGTGAGCCACAGTGCCACTTCCGGCTTTTTTTCTTTTTGCTTATGTGGTACTGAGGAATGGAACCCAGGGCCTCAGGCATGCAAGGCAAGCGCTCTACCACTGAGCCACCTTCCCAGCTCCATATTTTAGAAGTTTTTAATGTCCGTATCGTACTTAATTTTTCCATTAATAAGGCTGAGTGAGGTTAAGTAAACTGTCTAATATAACACATTAATTGGTAAAATACTGGGATTTTAAAAAGTCTCAAAGTCCTAAAGTTACTATATAGTTATTTACTTGGATTAAGCAGTGTTCATAAGTTTATTTTGTCCTATTTTGTAGGAGGAAACTTAAGGATTTTTTCCATTCAGGTTGAATGAACCATTTCCTATTGACTTTAATGTAGATGTGTCCAGGGGCTTGATATAGGCCTGGTTATGACCCCTGAGCTTTTGTGCTCAAAGCTAGTGTTCTACCATTTGAGGCCCACAGCTCTACTTCGAGACTTTTGGATTGTGAGTTGGAGAGCAGAGTCTCATGTACTTTCTTGCCTGGGCTGTTCTCAACCACAATTACAGGCATGAGCCACCAGTGCCTAGCGGCTCCCCATCTTTTTGTTCTGAAATTGATTAGTTTCTTGTCCAATACCCAAAGCAGGATACAAATCTTTAGTATAGTGAAAATTGATGAAGCTTTCACTCAATCTTGCTTATTCAAAGGGATGATCTCTTAAAGGTGTCAGCATTGTATAAAAGAGAGGTGCCTTTAATTCTGTGCTTAGTTCTCCTAGTCTTTTTTTGTTACTTTGAGAATAAGGTCTTTTTCCCTGGCTTGTCTTGATTTCTATGCTCCCATTTATGTCTCCTGCATAGCTAGGATTAAGTAAGCATCTGTGCCACTCTACCTGACTTGATTGAGATATAGGGTCTTCATACCTGTTTGTTAGGATGTTTGCGTTTCTGTGTTGACAACTAGGACTTGAACTTGGGCCTGGACACTGTCCCTTACTTAGCATTCTACCTTTTCATTTATTTTTTTCTCTGTCATGGGGCTTGAACTCTGAGATCTGGGCAGTGTCCCTGAGCTCTGAGCCACTTCCAGTTTTCTGGTAATTAATTGACAATAGGAGTCTTACTGCCTGGCCTGGCTTTGAACCATGATCCTTAGATCTCAGCTTCCTGCGTAGCTAGGATTACAGGTGGGAGCAGCTGGTGCCCTACAGCATTCTCTTTTTTAAAGTCACAGTTCCCTCTTCTGATATTTGGCTGGTTAATTGGAGAAAAGAGTTTTGGACTTTAAACAGCTGCTATAGCTTATAGGAGTTGAACCATCAGAACTTGTATGTATATACACTTCTGCATTTTTCCCTGGGTGGCTTTGAACACATGATGCTTACATAATCAGCCTCCTTAGAAACTTGGATTGAAGGCATATTCTGCAGATGCCTGGCTATTTCGTCTTTGAGACAGGGTCTTGGTCTCTATCGCAGCTGACTTTGATCTCAGGGTCTTTGTGCCTCTGATCTTGAACATGGTGTTTAACATGTACCATTATGTCTCCCTTCTTTTTTGGGGGGGGGGCTCCAGTTGTGTGCCTGAACTCTGAGCCTGGGCACTGTCCTTCAGCTCAAGGCTAGCGCTCTACCACTTGAGCCACAGCACTACTTCCGGCTTTCTTCTTTTTGCTTATGTGGTGCTGAGGAATTGAACCCAGGGCCTCAGGCATGCAAGGCAAGTGCTCTACCACTGAGCCACCTTCCCAGCCTTCTTAAAGAAATGAATGAACTTCAGAGTATTAAAAAAAATACCCCAGTCAATAAATTTCTGTTGTTCCAATTGTCCTTTGGCACATCGAAAATATAGTGCTGCCTTGCTGGAGGCATGGCTTATTGGTACAGTGCTTGCCTAGCATGCATGAAGCCTTGAGTTTGATTCCTCACTACCACATAAACAGAAAAAACTGGAAATGGTGCTGTGGCTCAAGTGGTAGAGCAGCACTAGCCTTGAGCACAGAGAGGCTCAGGGACAGAGCCCAGACCCTGAGTTCAAGTCCCAGGATTGGCAAAAAAAAAAACACAAGAGTGGCCTACAAATAAGATTGTGTTGTACACTGGGGAGATAGGAAACTTCAGTTATAATGGAAACAAAATTATAGTATTAATCATTTGGTGTTTTTAAAATGTAGTTTTAAAAAATTAGAAATTTGGGCTGGGAAGGTAGCTCAGTGGTAAGAGCACTTGCCTTGCATGCATGAGGCCCGGGTTCGATTCCTCAGCACCATATAAGCAAAAATAAGCCAGAAGTGGTGCTGTGGCTCAACTGGTAGAGAGCACTAGCCTTGAGCTGAAGAGCTGAGGGACAGCACCCAGGCCCAGAGTTCAAGCTCCACGACCAGATCAAAAAAAAGAGAAATTTTATATTAAAAGCTTTTTAATTGGAAAAATCAATATATATTACAAGCCTTAAATTTATTGTATTTATAACTAAAGCTTTAATTTAAATAAGAACATAATAAAATTCAACATTTGAGCTGTCTAAAACATTTACCTTAATACTTAGAGTGTCCTGCTTAAAGTTCTGTAATGTTCTGTAAAATTATGCCTCACAGCAGAATGTTACCGTACCAAAAACATTAGGTGGTTCACTTCACGCATGTAATCCTATCAATTGTGGATGCTGAGATCTGAGCATCATGGTTTAAGACTCTTCCCTCCTATTGGCCACCAGAAAACTTGAAGTGATGTTATGGCTCAAGTGGTAGAGTGCTTCACCTTGAGCTGAAGAGCCCAGGGACAGCATCTAGTCCAAGGGTCCAAGCACCACCACTGAAAATAATAAGTTTTTTAAAAAAGGGTAAGGCAGAATAAGTTGCATATGGGTGACCTTGTTAATTTGTTTTTTTTTCTTTTTGGTCAGTTGTGGAAATGAACTTGACTTAGTTGCTATCATTGAGCTCTTTTTTTCCAAGGCTAATGCTCCACCACTTTGAGCCACTGTACCACTTCGACTTTTTGATTACAGGTTGGAGATTAGCCATCAAATTCTCACACTTTACTGGTTGGCTACAATCCTTATATCTCACCCTCCTGAATAGCTAGGGTTAGAGGTATGAGCCACTGGAGCCCAGTTGAGACCCTGGTTTTGTTTTCTTTTTTTTTTGCCAGTTGTGGGGCACTGTCCCTAAGCTTGTTTTTCGCAAAGCTATCCCTCTGCCACTTGAGCCACTGTGCCACTTCTGGCCTTTTCTGATTATGTAGTGTTGAGGAATCAAACCCAGGGTTTCATGGATGCTAGGCAAGCAAGCCCTGTACTATTAAAGGCACGTTGCCACCCGAGACCCTGATTTTAAATCATTTTTTTCTTGTTTCAGCCCAGGAGAATCAGTGCGGTCTCTGTGGCAGAGCGAGTTGCATATGAGAGAGGTGAAGAACCTGGAAAAAGCTGTGGTTACAGTGTTCGGTTTGAATCTATACTTCCACGTCCTCATGCAAGCATAATGTTTTGTACTGTAGGTCAGTAATGTATTTTGATTTTATTTGGGATTGATCATGTTTACTAAATGTAGTAACTGAGAAGAATGGTTAGAAATAATCTGAACATCTTGTTTAAATATAACTTTTAATTGACTGAGAGTGATAATAGTATTTCAACAGACATAAAATTATGAGTTCATTTAAGAAAATTGTTGACTACATTATCACCTTTGAGTATGTATGCTATTCCCTGAACTGGGGATATTGAGGTGTGGATAATTGGATATTTGCTTTGATTCTGAATATACTTTTTGTACCTGTATCAGCCATGGGAAATATCCCAATTGCTCTGATTTTATTTTCAAGGTGTGCTCCTAAGAAAACTAGAAGCAGGCATCCGAGGCATCAGTCATGTAATAGTGGATGAAATACATGAAAGAGACATTAATGTAAGTTATTTGTGAGTTACTTTCACATACTAAAGCTGTCTACTTGAGGGAGGGTGGGGAAGTGCTCTATTTTCCCATTAATTATACCATTAATATATTATTCATCCTCAGAACTTTCACAATCACAGAGATGCTTACTCCTTACTATGAAGTCCGTCCATTATGTTAAGTCTAGGAAACACTCCAAAAAGCCTTTTTTTCTTTTTTTTGGTCTTCCTGGGGCTTGAATTCTGGGCCTCAAATCTTGAGCTCAAGGCTACCAGTTTTCTGGTGGTTTATTAGAGATAAGAGTCTCGGGGCTGGGAAGGTAGTGCTTGCCTTGCATGCATGAGGCCTTGGGTTCAATTCCCAGCACCACATAAGCAGAAAAGGCCAGAAGTGGCGCTATGGCTCAACTGGTAGAGTACTAGCCTTGAGCTGAAGAGCTCGGACAGAGCCAAAGCCCAGAGTTCAAGCCCCACAACCAAATAAAACAAAGTTTCGCAGACTTTCCTGCCTGGGCTGGCTTTGAACTGCAATCCTCAGATTTGACTCCTGAGTAGGTGGGATTACAGGCATGAGCCACCAGCGCCTGGCTCAAGAAGCCTTTTACTGTAAAAGTAGCTACAGTTGTAGAGCTTATAGTTTTTACAAGTGAACCTAATTGGTGGCTTAATGAAGTTTTATGGTGATTAGTTTTTAAATTGCAAATTTATCTGATAAATTGTAAATTTTTAACATAATTGTCAGTTGGAGTGTTTTGATCCCTTTATATAGTTAATGATAGTACATCCAAATTTAGGAAAGAAACTAGAATTTATTTCTGACCTTTATCTCTTGGTCTTTGACAAAATGGGTGTCAGCTTTCTGTATATGACTACACTGACAGACACTACATACCATATCCTCCAACCCCCTTCCTTCTTACCTATACTTTTACTACTTAAAACAATTTCAGGTTTCATTGTTCTATTTTCACACGTGGAAATGTTAAAAATTAATCTCATAATTATATCAGCTGGACATAGGTGCCTCCCATCTATAATCCTAGCAGTTCAGGAAGCTGAGGTCTGATCACAGTACAAAGGCTACCTGGGTAGGAATGTCTTGTCTATTTTTTTTTTTTTAATTTTTTTGCCGGTTGTGGGGCCTGAACTCTGGGCCTGGGCGCTGTCCCTCAGCTCTTCAGCTCAAGGCTAGCGCTATACCACTTGAGCCAAAGCGCCACTTGTGGATTTTTCTGCATATGTGGTGCTGAGGAATCGAACTCAGGGCCTCATGCATGCAAGGCAAGCACTCTACCACTGAGCCACCTTTCCAGCCCAGGAATGTCTTGTCTATAAGACAACACTAACCACCCCAAGAAAGCTGGATGCGGTGTTATGCCTTTGAACACAGATCATCTTAGGTACCATCTGTCTGTATTTCAGTAGTCTTGCGTGTTAACATGTCTTGTAGTCTTAGCATTTAAAGTATTATAATATCATAGGTCATTAGTATTTTGTTAAAGTAACTTTGATAAGATTGTTGAAGATTTCAGTGATTAAGTAGGAAAGTAAAAGCCAGAAGACCACAAAAAGATGCTTTGTCCACTTCTGTAATTAAACTTAAATGGCAGTGATGGAGACTTACCAATTTTTATGCAGTTATATATATTAAAGTGTAGCTTACTTTTTTTTTTTTTTGCCAGTCCCAGGGCTTGAACTTTGGGCCTGGATACCATCCTTGAGCTTTGAGCTTTATTGCACAAGGCTATCACTTGAACCATAGTGTCATTTGCACCTTTTTCTGTTTTTGTGGTACTGAGGAATACCCAGGGCTTCACTCATGATGAACAAGCCACATTCCCGGCCTAATGTAGTTTCTCTTAAAGGGCACTGTTCCTCAGCCTCTTCATTCAAGGCTGATGCCCTGTTACCTCCTATATTTTGGTGGTTAATTTGTAGATAAAAGTCTAGGCTACTTAGCTGATCACTAGTTGTTCATGCCTGTAATTGTAGCTACTCAGGGAGCTAAGATCTTTTTTTTTTTTTTTTTTTGGTCCGGTCGTGGAGCCTGAACTCTGGGCCTGGGCGCTGTCCCTCAGCTCTTCAGCTCAAGGCTAGCGCTCTACCACTTGAGCCACAGCACCACTTCCGGCTTTTTTGTTTTTGCTTATGTGGTACTGAGGAATCGAACCCAGGGCCTCAGGCATGCAAGGCAAGCGCTTTAACCACTGAGCCATCTTCCCAGCCCAGGAAGCTAAGATCTTGAATCTAACCACTAAAACAAGTGACACTGTGACTCAATGTGGTAGAGCACTAGTCTTCAGTAAAAAAAAAAAAATCAGGGATAGCACCCAGGTCCTGAATTCAAACCCAACAACTGACAAAACATGTCTAGTGGACTTGACTGCCTGGTTGGCTTTGAATTGCAATCCTCTAATCTTAGCCTCCTGTCTAGTTAAGATTATATGTATGAGCCACTGGTGCCTAGCATAGTTTAATTCATCCACTGATTTCTTGTTGGCTTGTGGGGATTGTGTGTTTTGTTTTTTAAAATGAGGGCTGTTATATTTCTATACATTAACAACATCCTGTAATTCTCACTTGTTTTCTTTTTAATAGACTGATTTCCTTCTGGTAGTACTGCGTGATGTAGTTCTGGCTTATCCTGAAGTTCGGATTGTTCTTATGTCTGCTACTATCGATACTACCATGTTTTGTGAATATTTCTTCAATTGTCCCATCATTGAAGTTTATGGGCGGACTTACCCAGTTCAAGGTACATTGGAGGGGAGGGGGTTAAAAGGTGAACATACTGTTCAGTAGGATTTGGATTTAATACCAGGGATTAAAAATTTTTTTTTTGTTGGTCATGGGCCTTGAACTCTGGGCCCACTTGTGCCACAGTGCCACTTCCAGTTTTCTGGTGATTTATTGAAGATAGGAATCTTACAGACATTCCTGGGTAGAGCGCTAGTCTTGAGCTGAAGAGCTGAGGGACAGTGCCCAGGCCCAGAGTTCAGGCCCCATGACCGGACCCAAAAAAAACAAAGAGTTCTTAAACTCTGCTGCAGTGTTAAAGTTGGTAATTCATACTTAACCTGAATTATCATTGGCAGAATATTTTCTGGAAGACTGCATTCAGATGACCCAATTTATTCCTCCACCAAAGGATAAGAAAAAGAAGGACAAAGAAGATGATGGTGGTGAGGATGATGATGTAAGTACATTCTGTGAGGAATTTTTTTGTAGGCATTTGTTGGAGAAAAGACAAAACAAAATAAGCATTACAGCAAGCTTAAAATTTGCCTGTAATTGCTATCTGCATAATTTGCATATTTCATTGGGGTTGGTCATTATCTCTTTGGCCATGAATTAAATCATCTGTAATAAAAGTCCAAAGAACATGACATTTGAAGGTTATTAGGGTTAAAGGTAATTCATACCACGTTATTTCACTGCAGAAAGTGTTTTCTTTTATGTCACAGCATAGGGAAGCTTGTAGAAAAGGAGACTCTTTGTCTAACCAATCTAGTTGCTTAGATGATTCTCATATTAATATTTTGGTAGCAGCAGTTAGAATCCTAATGTTTTTTTTTTTGGGTCCGGTCATGGGGCCTGAACTCTGGGCCTGGCCACTGTCCCTCAGCTCTTCAGCTCAAGGCTAGCGCTCTACCACTTGAGCCACGGTGCCACTTGCGGCTTTTTTCTTTTTGCTTATGTGGTGCTGAGGAATCAAACCCAGGGCCTCGAGCATGCAAGGCAAGCACTCTACCACTGAGCCACCTTCCCAGCCCTAGAATCCTAATTTAAATAAACAGTACAGTGATACCCAGTAGAGAGTATTAAATAAGTTACGAGAATTTCAGGGAAAGAAACATTGTTGGGAGTTCCTGGGTTTATCATGTGGTGTTGTGCTTGCTAGGCAGGCTGTATGATAGCCAGTAATACAGAGGTAGAAGTAATGTGAGACTCCATCCCTTCAGTCAAAAGATCTAATAAGCAAGGGAAATAGGACCGACTTTAACTATTTATTTTTCCTACATATTTAAGACCAAGAGTTGTCATTAGAAACACAAGTTTTCAGCAGTAGTCTTTGAGAATAAAATACTAAAATTTAAAATTTTTTGTATCATCAGTGGCTTACACTTGTAATCCTAGCTACTCAACAGGCCCAGATCTGAAGAGTATGAGTTGAAGACAGCACAGGCAAAAAAGTCCCTGAGATTTTTTTTATTTTATTTATTTATTTGCTCATGGGGCTTAAACTCTGGGCCTGGGTGCTTACTGTCTCTCAGCTCAAGGCCAGCACTGTACCACTAGAGCCACAGCACTCTAGAAAACTTCCAGTTTTCTGGTAGCTAATGGGAGATATGCGCTTAATGGACTTTCCTGCCCATACTGGCTGTGAACTGCAGTCCTTAAGATCTCAGCCTCCAGAGTAGCAGTATTACAAGTGTGAGCCACCAGTGCCTGCTTAAGACTGGTTCTTATTTTGCTGGGACTTGAACTCAGGGCCTGCACTCTCCTTGGCTTATGCTAAAGGCTAGTCCTCTGCCACTTTAGTCAATCTCTATATCCAGCTTTTTTGGGGGGCTATGGGGGTCCTGCGGCTTGAACTTAGGGCCTGGGCTCAGTCCTTGAGCCTCTGTACTCAAGGCTAGTGCTCTGCCACTTGAGCCACAGTGTCACTTCGGGGTTTTTCTGAGTGGTTTGTTGGAGGTAAGAGTCTCACAGACTTTCCTTCTTGGGCTGGCTTTGATTCTCAGATCTTAGCCTCCTTAGTAAAGGTAGGATTACAGGTGTCAGCCACTGGCACCAGGCCCTTGAAACTCAATTTGTCACAGGGAAAAGCCAGAAGTGGCACTGTGGCTCAAATGGTAGATTGATAGATCCATCAAAAAAAAATTGTAGTGTGTGAGAATTAGTCAACAAGAACCTTTTGAGATTGATACAATACAAAATATGCTATTTTGGTTTTGCAGGCAAATTGCAACCTGATATGTGGGGATGAATATGGTCCAGAAACAAAGATGAGCATGTCTCAGCTGAATGAAAAAGAAACTCCATTTGAGCTGATTGAAGCTCTACTGAAATACATAGAAACTCTTAATGTACCTGGAGCTGTGTTGGTTTTTTTGCCCGGCTGGAATTTGATATATACTATGCAGAAGCATTTGGAAATGAACCCACATTTTGGTAGGAGGTTTTTTTTTTTTTTCTTTTTTAGTCCTTATATTTGGAAGTAGAAATGTGGATATAAATTTGATCTTTTTAAATAGAAATATGTGTGATTACTTTTAAACCAGCTCCTGTTCTTACCTCTTAATCTTTCTGTATTGTTTACAGGAAGCCACAGGTATCAGATTCTACCTCTACATTCTCAGATTCCCCGAGAAGAACAACGGAAAGTATTTGATCCAGTACCAGTTGGAGTAACCAAGGTAAATGCTAACCATTATACTGATGGGTGTTAGAAGTAGGTTATACATACATACATAGGTACGTACAGTGTTAGAAGCTTTCAAAGAGGCGGGCGCTGGTGGCTGACACCTGTTATCCTAGCTACTCAGGAGGCTGAGATGTGAGAATTACGGTTCAAAGCCAGCCCGGTCAGGAAAGCCCCTGAGACTCTTATCTCCAACAAACCACAAAACCGGAAGTGGCGATGTGACTCTAGCAGGAGAGTGCTGAAGAGCGCAAGGACAGTGTTCCCAAGCCCAGAGTTCAAGCCCCATAACTGACCAAAAAAAAAAAGCTTTCAAAGAGTCATCAAGTTTTAAGCATCAAAGTGAAGGAGGATAAAAGTCTTTCTTAAGCTTAGTATGTTCTTCATTATCTCCCTCAGGGGCAAGTAATTCAATCATTTTCCTAACTGTGTTTTTTCTTTCAGGTTATTTTGTCTACAAATATTGCTGAAACAAGTATCACCATAAATGATGTTGTTTATGTCATTGACTCTTGCAAGTAAGTCCCGAAAGAGATCTCTTTGCCTATTTATGTGTTAGGAATTGAGAGTCCATAAACAAATTAATTTCTCTTTAAGAGGCTTACTTCTAGACTTTCTACCTTCAGAATTAGACTAGCTATGGGAAGAATTAACTCTTAATTAAGAGTTAATTCTTACTTATATTCACTAATCAAGTTACAGAAGAAAGGAACCAAGTTTAACATTGTACTTTCTGGTTCCTTTTTAGTGTTTATATCAGCAGATATTTTTCTTTTTCTATTGTTTACAATGTTCACAGCAATTCTAAGAAAGATGGTATTGTAGACTGTGTCTGGAATACTAGCTAGGTAAGAGTTAAGACCATGCTCAAATATAAACAAAGCACCCTGTCCACAGAATAAAGCAAAAAGACTTCAAGTCTCAATTGCCCAGCATACATAAGACAAACTTGATATCAGTGAAAAAAGACACATATTTAATATGCAGGCTACTGTAGCCAACATGATATAATTTCAGCTTCAGGCTGAGTGAGGATCATAAGCTCGAGGCCAGCCCAGGTATATATGAGTTAAGAGGCCAGTTTCCACGTTTGCTATGTACCTTGAAAATAGATTTGGTAAATGAGTGTATGTAAAATGTAGTAAGGCTAGTGCAGTTAGAGAATGCTTTCACCTGGTTAACTTGTACACCAAGGTGGGTTTTTGTTTTTCCGTTTTTGCTTATGGCTAGTGCTCTAGCACTGAAGCCCAAGGGCCAGTTTAACTTTTTCGTTAAGAGTCTCACAGACTTTACTGCCTGGGCTGCCTTTGAACTATAGTCCTCAGATTTCAATGGTCCTGAATAGCCAGGATTATAGGTGTGGTCTACCAGCACATTGCTACCCCATGGTGTGTTTGATTGTTTGTTTGACTTGGAGACTGCTCTTCAGCTTAAGGTTAGCCCTCTACCACTGGAGCCACAGCGGGCTTTTTGTGCTTATGTGGTGCTGAGGAATTGAACCCAGGGCCTTATGCATGCAGCGCAAGCACTCTAGCACTCTATTACCTTCCCAGTCCTACTCCATTGTTTCATTGAAGTCCCTTGGTCTATGCTGGTGGAAAATTCCTTATAGGATAATGAATAACTGCTTTTAGGTATAATTTAGAAGGCCTATTTAAAATATGGGTTCAAACAGATAATGATGGTACCATTGATGTATATAGCACGAAATGTGCAACATAATGTGTAGTTTCATACATAATCTTACATCATAGAAATAGTAACATTAACCTTTGGGGTGGATGTGGTTTGAATAATTATCACTAAATTTAAGTTAACTCCTTCCATATTTATAAGAAGATGATTATACTGATTTTTCATTGTTAGATGAAGTGGCGATATAGTAACCTTGCCAAAGCAGTCAGCTAGTATATAGCACATATTTTATATTGCCTTTTAGTAGAGCTAGAAGAGTAGAATCTGGTTGCTGCTTATTCTTACTTGTGCTGTTCATAAATGGTCCCTTGGTGATTATATATTGTTAACAGCATTTATTCAGTATTTGGTTTACAATTAACTATGTTTTGCTATTTAGGCAGAAAGTGAAACTGTTTACTGCTCATAACAACATGACCAACTATGCTACAGTATGGGCATCTAAAACAAACCTCGAACAGAGGAAAGGTAGAGCTGGTCGTGTACGTCCTGGGTTTTGCTTTCATCTTTGTAGTCGAGCTCGTTTTGAGAGGTAACCAATTCAAGTTCTTCTTTAAAAAAACTTTTAAATATCCTGTCTGCATGCAGATTTTCTCATCCCTATGTTCCTTTATTGTTATGAACTCTGCATGAATGTCTTCAGTTCGATATGTTGGGGAAAATTTATCTTAAGTAATCTATCCTAGGAATGTGAAGAGGTCAGAAATTGTGTTACTTGGTGAAAGGATAAATGAGCATTTTGTGTCCACATAGCTTCTAAACTTTGAAATTACTGATTTTATAATGTTACATGTGTCTTTGGGTACTTTCTAAAATTTGAAAGCAAAAAATCTATTGATGAAGTCAAGGGAGTATGAATTCCAGTGATTTGTTTTTGCCCAGTCCTGGGCTAGAACTGAGGACTTGGGCACTGTTCTGAGCTTCATTTGCTCAAGGATAGCACTCTAGCACTTGAGTCACAGCACTACTTCCAGCTTTGCCTGTTTATATATGGAACTGAGGAATCAAATCCAGAAGCAAGCAAGGACTCTATTTCTAAGTCACATTCCCAGTCCATAATAACAAGTTTTGTTTTGTTTTTTTTTTAATTTTTTTTTTTTGTGGCTTGAAATTAGGACCTAGGCACTGTCCCTGAGCTTTCATTTTGCTCAAGGCTGGTAGTCTACCTTAAACCTAAGTTGGAATCTCATAGATGTTCCTGTGGCTTTGAACTGTGATCTTCATATCTCAGGTATGAGCCACTGGTTTCCTGGATTGTTAATGACCTTTTTTTAAGGTTCAAAAAAAAACCTCATTAATCAAAGGCTTAGTGTTTCCCTCTACACCTGAGGTGTATAGGGACATGTTCACTAGATTTATAATGGGTAAATGATTTGTAAGATTTTCCCAATGGCACTGAACTTGTATGGAATAAGAAGTTAGACAACATTTAAAAGTTTATTTAGCCCCATTTTTAATCCATTTTTAATCCTGGTGCCGATGGCTCACGCCTGTAATCTTACCTACTCAGGAGGTTGAGATCTGAGGATTGGGGTTCAAAGCCAGCCCGGGCAGGAAAGTACATGAGACTCTTACCTCCAATAAACCTCCAATAAAACACCAGGTGCTGTGGCTCAAGAGTACTGGCCTTGAGCTGAAGAACACAGGGACAGGGCCCAAGCCCAGAGTTCAAGCCCCATGCCCCCCCCCCCCAAAAAAAAGAATAAAAGCCCATGAATAGGATCACTTTTCCTCGTTCACTTTTCAGTTGTAAGGCCATTATGTTTATTTTAAGGAAAGCAACTGTAACTGACTCTGTTATTTTGCTATGCTGATGGGTGTGTACACAGAGACAATGGTTACATTTTTCTCTTAGACTTGAAACCCACATGACACCAGAGATGTTTCGCACACCATTGCATGAAATTGCTTTGAGCATAAAGCTACTGCGTCTGGGAGGAATTGGTCAGTTCCTGGCCAAGGCAATTGAACCTCCACCTTTGGATGCAGTGATTGAAGCAGAGCATACTCTCAGAGGTATGTGTGAATGTAGATTTGCTTAACCAAAATAGATGTCAATTAAACAGTCTGTTCTTGAATATGGACTCAACTCTGGTAACAAGACCTTAGTACTTCATGTACATAGTTATTACATGTGTGTAATTAGTGTACCCTAATTATCATGAGATGGATTGGTAAAATATTTAAGACAAGGCAGGATGTCATATCTTAACTAATACCAGAAGGTAAACTACTCATGAGACTTCTAATGTTTTAGGTAATCTCTTAAACTTACATGCTTTTATTCTGTTATTGGGATTATAGTTTTCATGGGCTATATCAGACTAACCCTACAGGGCTGAATTACTAGTGCCGCTTTCATATTTTAATGCTCCTGTAATTTTTTTTACCAAAACGTTTTTTATTGTAAATATACTGAACAGAAGGGTTACATTTACATGAGCAAGGTCATGAGTACATTTCTTGTCAAACATTGTTGCCTACTCCTTTGTTTTTCCCTTATCATCTCCTCCCTCTCACCTCCACAGCTACACTCCTCCCCTTCCCCCCTTGGGTGAGAATTTTTTGGTCCTGACTCTGCATTAACATGTGATGACATCTTAATTGTACTCTATTGAAGCCTTCACGTACAAAGTAATGTCAATCTGTGCTAACAGGCCTTGATTATAGTTGTTACAAAGAAAAATGTCTTTCCACAGAACTTGATGCATTAGATGCCAATGATGAATTAACCCCTCTGGGACGAATCCTTGCTAAACTCCCCATTGAGCCTCGTTTTGGCAAAATGATGATAATGGGATGTATTTTCTAGTAAGTGCTTTGTTTAATTTGTTGAATAATGCTACAGCTTTAGATTCTTAACCTGTCTGTAATAGCTAAAGAAAACTAAATATTTGGTAGAAGTAAAATTAAAACTGAACAGTTAGAGTAAACAGGCCAATATTTGGGATAAGCTCTGATTTCTCCAAAGAGAATAAAGTATGCTACTTTCCAAAGTTGTATTTAATTGCTTTTGAAATATTGGCATTAGGAAAAGGGATTTAATTAGGTTGATGAGGTGGTGTGTTCCTGTTGTCCTATGCTTTGGGAGGCAGAGGCAGGAACATTGTGAGTTGGAGATTAGCTGGTACTATAAAAAGCAAGATCCACTCTACAAACAGGGGGGACCTATTTTTCAAAAAGTTCAAAGATTAAGAAACTTAAATTAGAGAAAGCTAAAATATGGAACAAAATGGATGTGGCCACAATTTATATAAACATTTTAAGTAAGCAATCAATTTTTTTCCCTTTGTGATTCTGATGAAAGCAGGTGTGAACTTGTCGGGTTTTTCTGCCAGTCAATATATTTAGGCTATCATGACACTTAAAGCAAGGATATACTACATATATCTAATCTACTGGGAACATGAGTATAATTAATGTTTAACTGTTGTTTCAGTGTGGGAGATGCTGTCTGTACCATTTCTGCTGCTACCTGCTTTCCAGAACCTTTCATAAATGAAGGAAAGCGACTGGGCTATGTCCACAGGAACTTTGCTGGAAACCGATTTTCTGATCATGTGGCTCTTTTATCAGTGTTCCAAGCCTGGGATGATGCTAGGTATGACTTAATGAAAAGGATTTGCTGTAGTTGTTCCATGAACTGTCTTTAGGTTCTAAGTGAGTGTTTCATAATCTTGTTATAGAATGGGTGGTGAGGAAGCAGAGATACGTTTTTGTGAACACAAAAGACTTAATATGGCTACACTAAGAATGACTTGGGAGGCGAAAGTTCAGCTGAAAGAAATTCTGATTAATTCTGGTTTTCCAGAAGGTAAGATCCCATGCCTTTTCCTGTGTTCCTACCTATTCTTAGTACCAGTTTTCTGCATTTATTTTATTGGCAGTCCTGGGGCTTGGACTCTGCCTGGGCAGGGTCCCAGAGCTGCTTTTGCTCAAGGCCAGCACTGTACCACTTGAGCCACAGTGCCATTTCTGCCTTTTTCTGTGAAACTGAGGAATTGAACCCAGGGATTCATGTGTGCAAGGCCAGCACTCTACCAGTAAGCCACATTCCCAGTGCTTTACTTTTATTTTCTTACTGTGGCAACTAAAATTTCTTCTTGAACTTTGTCTATATTGGGGTAGCTCCCAGAAATTTGTAACAAGTTGTTGGAAAAGGTGACTTAGGGAACTGTAATAGAAAGATTAAGCCATTAACCAGGTTTTTTAATGATTTTTTTTTGACAGATTGTTTGTTGACTCAAGTGTTCACCAACACTGGACCAGATAATAATTTGGATGTTGTAATCTCTCTCCTGGCCTTTGGTGTATATCCCAATGTATGCTATCATAAGGAAAAGAGAAAGATTCTTACCACTGAAGGGCGTAATGCCCTTATCCACAAGTCATCAGTTAATTGTCCTTTCAGCAGCCAAGACATGAAGTACCCGTCTCCCTTCTTTGTGTTTGGTGAAAAGGTAACACAACGTTAATTCATTGCATAGGTATATGGTAGTCTTAGACAGTTGTGTCAACCATTTCCATTTGCCTGTTTTTCTTCCATTACAGATTCGAACCCGAGCCATCTCTGCTAAAGGCATGACCTTAGTCACCCCCTTGCAGTTGCTTCTCTTTGCCTCCAAAAAAGTCCAATCTGATGGGCAGATTGTCTTTATAGATGACTGGTAAGGATCTCAGTTATAAATTATGAACTAATCTCTTAGAATGCACATGTGTTCAGATTAAAATCCAATAAGGAAAATGTGGTCCCAGGGTCCACTGGCTCAAAAGTACCTGTGATACTTTTAAAAATTATGATTAATAAGTTTTTTTATTGTGAAAATACTGTACAGAGGGGTTACAATTACATGAGAAAGGTAATGAGTACATTTCTTTTTTGGGGGTCCGGTCGTGGGGCCTGAACTCTGGGCCTGGGCGCTGTCCTTCAGCTCTTCAGCTCAAGGCTAGCGCTCTACCACTTGAGCCACAGCGCCACTCCCGGCTTTTTTCTTAGGTGGTGCTGAGGAATCAAACCTAGGGCCTCAGGCATGCAAGGCAAGTGCTCTACCACTGAGCCACCTTCCCAGCCCATGAGTACATTTCTTATCAAGCATTGTTGCCTCCTCCTTTGTTTCCCCTTACTGACTCCCCCCCCCCCCCCACACCTCTGATACTCCACTTAACCACTGAAAAACCAGAGCTGTGGTTCAAGTGTTAAAGAGTGCTAACCTTGAGCACACAGAGGCTCAAGGACAGTACCCAGGCCCAGAGCTGGCCCCACAACCAACAGAAAAAGCAGAAAGAAAAACATAGCAAAATTAGATATCTCCAGTAAGTGCCAAGTTACATGTTTTGTTAAGGGACTGTAAGGGTATGAAGTTTTAACTTGGTAGAAGTAAATGCATACAAACACAAGCTAGTAATGCTAGTAACTAGCATTTACTAGGAAGTTACTGAAGATTGCTGTTGCTATTTTTGAGGAGTAGGGAGATCAGCCATGCGGCTTGAACTCAGCCTGGGTGCTGTCCATCAGCTCTTCAGCTCAAGGCTAGGGCTCTACCACTTGAGCCACAGTGCCACTTACGGTTTTTGGAGTAGTTTACTGGAGGTAAGAATCTCATATACTTTCTTGCCCAGACTAGTTTTAAATCACTATCCACAGATCTCATCTTCCTCAGTGGCTAGGATTACTGGTGAGCTACCAGTGCCAGGCATTCTGTTTTTTAAATTTAATATTTTTATTTTACAAGTGTTATGTAAGAAGGGATTACAGTTATGTAAATGAGGAACTGGGTATATTTTGTCATTGTTTATGTGTTCAGTTATTGTTTATAACTCTTCCATATGAACAATTTCAGATATGAACATGTGTAGGACCATTCTAATCTTCAGTTAGTGCTTAATCAGTTAGATTTATTTCACTTCTTGTGTGGAATTGAGGAATAATTTTTATTTTTCTCCATTTTAGGATCAGACTGCAAATATCACATGAAGCTGCTGCGTGTATCACTGCCCTCCGTGCAGCCATGGAAGCTCTGGTTGTTGAAGTATCCAAACAACCTAATATCATCAGCCAGTTGGACCCTGTAAATGAACATATGCTGAACATGATCCGCCAGATTTCTAGGCCCTCCGCCGCTGGTATAAACCTTATGATTGGTGGTGCACGGTGAGTAACTCAGTTGCCATTGAAAGAAAGTCAGAGGGTAATGTTAATGTTTACCTCAAGTTCAAGTTCCTATAGTCTGGAACATCACAGTGTTAACGTGTGCCGGATGCCAGTGGCTCATGCCTGTAATCCTAGCTACTCAGGAGGCTGAGATCTGAGGATCAAGGTCCATGAGACTCTTACTTCCAATTAACCACCAGCAAACGGGTAATGGTGCTGTGCTTCAAGTGGTAAAGTGTGAAGTACAGGTGTAGTCCATTGTGTGATAACATGCCTCAAAAACAAAATAAGACGATCTTCCTACTGTGCTGGCATCTCTACAAAGAAAAAATGAGGCCGGGCGCTGGTGGCTCACGCCTGTAATCCTAGCTACTCAGGAGGCTGAGATCTGAGGATCGCAGTTCAAAGCCAGCCCGGGGGGGCAGGAGAGACCTTGAGACTCCTATCTCCAATAAACCACCAGAAAACCGGAAGTGGCGCTGCAGCTCAAGTGGTAGAGTGCTCACCTTGAGCTGAAGAGCTGAGGGACAGCGCCCAGGCCCAGAGTTCAAGTCCCACGACCGACAAAAAGAAATGAGGGGTTGTTTTCTTCTTCAAAAAACACTAGTATTAGCGATAAGGAGAACAGTACAACTATCTTATTTATTTTTTTTGGTCCAGTCATGGGGCTTGAACTCGGGACCTGGGCGCTGTCCCTCAGCTCTTCAGCTCAAGGCTAGCGCTCTACCACTTGAGCCACAGCACCACTCCCGGCTTTTTTCTTTTTTCTTATGTGGTGCTGAGGAATCGAACCCAGGGCCTCAGGCATGCAAGGCAAGCGCTCTACCACTGAGCCACCTTCCCTCCCCAGTACAACTATCTTAAAACAATGACATTTCCTAATGTTTTGTTTGCCTCATCTTTGTTTTCTTTGAACTGGGCTTTGAACTTAGGGCCTTATATTTGCTGGATAAGCAGTATACCTCTAAGCACTATATGCTTAAGTTGTTATTCAACTTGAGTGTCATACTTTGTGTTTATTCTAGTCTGGAACTGAGATCCTCTTACCTATGTATCCCATGTAGTTTGGATTGCAGGTGTGAAGAAACCATGCTTGGCCTGTTTGTTTTTAAGTAGGATCTTCATAAACTTACCCACATGAAGCAAGAGAATAATACTAATACGGGTTTTTTTGCTCTCCTTAGATATGGAGATGGTCCACGTCCTCCCAAGATGGCCAGATATGATAATGGAAGTGGATATCGAAGGGGTTCTGGATATGGTGGTGGAGGCTATGGTGGTGGGGGATATGGTGGTGGAGGCTATGGAGGTGGGGGATATGGTAGTGGGGGCTATGGTGGTGGGGGCTTTGGTGGAGGAGGTGGGGGCTTTGGAGGAAGTGGAGGTGGCTTCGGTGGTGGAGGCTTTGGCGGTGGAGGCTTTGGCGGTGGAAGTGGTGGAGGATTTGGAGGTGGAAGTGGAGGGGGCTTTGGAGGAAACTATGGAGGTGGTGGAGGCTTTGGAGGAAATGATGGTGGCTTTGGAGGGAACGGAGGAGGCTTTGGAGGGAATGGCGGAGGTTTTGGAGGTGGTGGTGGTTTTGGCGGTAGAAACTATGGAGGTGGTGGAGGCTATGGTGGGGGCTCCAACTCTTACCGGGGAGGATATGGTGGAGGTGGAGGTGGTTTTAGAGGAGGCTCACAAGGGGGGTATAGAGGTGGCTTTGGTGGGGACTACAGAGGATCTGGTGGGGACTACAGAGGATCTGGAGGAGGAGGCTACAGAGGATCTGGAGGATTCCAGCGAGGCGGTGGCCGGGGCAACTATGGGGGAGGCTACTTCGGACAAGGGAGAGGAGGCGGTGGTTATTAAACTTCGTTATGTCAGTGCCTATGCATAGTTTTTTTTTAAGCATGCTATATGTTTTCCCCAAGATGTTTATTTCCACCAAATCAGTAAACTCATTTCCCTTCTATTCTGTGGTTTATTGTAGTTTAAGGAAACCAAGCCTATAGAGTTAGTGATTTTGTTTATATTATGTAAAATACAATGACCTATTATACAAGCACCATGCCAGTTTGTATTTTTTTTCTTTTAAGGAGTAAAATTTTGCCTTTTAAATTAACTTGGTATTTTCTTGGCTTCATTTAATACAGTAAAAAATAAAGTGTCACAATAAATCCCATCTGTGTAGTTGACCATTAATCTCTCACAACAGTGTTTCTACAATGCTAGTTGTATTTTTAATGTCGGGACCAGTTGCGCTATTTCAAGGAACACATACCAAGTGACACTAGCCATTGTAACAGAGAATGACCATGATATTGAATTGCAGTTCTTATAGTCAACCTAAAGCTGAACATTTTGTCTTCTAAGATTTGTTTAAAGACCAGGGTCAGGATGTTCTTTTCTCTATCAGTTTGTTTTCTATTATGTGACATTTAGAAAGTGCATCAGTCTGGAGAACTCTGGGTCAAGGGTTAGAGTCTATTTTAGGCAGTCCAAGGGAAGCATAAAGTTTAGAATTTGGGATCAGGGAGGTATATTTCGTATTTGTCTAGAGTAAAATATATTTCAAAAGATACTTGATTGTACAAGTTAGAATTTCTAGTGAACTTTCACAGTTTCCCATGTTGAAAGCACAATGTAGAGCGTGCATTGACTTTAGATTAGACATTCTTGGGCTAACATCTGTTTTGGTGCTTGGAATTAAAGGCCTCAAGTTTCTGCTTGGCTTTTTTGCTTTTGTCTGGCATCCTACCATTTGAGCCATACCTCTAGTCTGCTGTTTTTTGTTGTTGTTGTTGTTTTTGGCTAGTTACAGAAGATGCAGTTGAGTGGACTCTTCTCCCCAGGCTGACTTGCAACTGAAATCCTCCAGGTCTCAGCCTTTTGAGTAGCTAGGATTACAATCAGGAGCCACTGATACCTGCTTGGATTTGCTTTCTGTAAGTGGATGTTTGTGCACAAAATGTCTTTTGTTTCAGTAGTGGTGTTTAGCATCTTCATTCTTCACTGTTGTAGGGGCAGGGATCAAGTTCCTTATCCTAGCTTTAGATTCTTCTGCAACAGGTTGATAATTGTAAATAAAAAAATCCATATCCTCAAACTAATGCTTCATTTCTGAATACCAAACAACTGCCTGCTGGACATGAATCTTTGCTAAGATCCCACAATCACAAAGTGTTATTTTTCAAACTTTTGTGGGGTTTTCCAAGTTTTTAACTTAATTCCTTAAATCATGCATTTTCCCTGATGTGGTTTTATAAAAATAAAGCTGTGTCCATGTGTTGGTAACCATGGACAGTATCAGGGTTGTTACCTTTGTTGCACTTTGGGTATGTGCCTGTTCTGAGGCTTAAACTCATCCTGGGTGGGTCCCTATGTTTTTGTGCTCAAGGCCAGGGCTCTACCACGAGCCATAGCTAATTTCTGGCATTTTAGTGGTTAGTTGAAGGTATCTAGAGTCTGACAGACTTTCTGGAACAGGCTGGCTTCCTCAGATCCACTATCTTTGGATCTAAACCTGTGTAGCCAGGATTACATATAGATAGAACACTGGCACCTGGCTGCAGTTTTAAGCTTTAGAATTAGTGGCATGATATGACCCAATTGCCACTGGTTACTTAATGAGAGGCTAGGAGAAGTTTGCCAGTTTCTAAAAAGCCATATTCCAAAAAGTGAGGACACTGCAGTGTACAAGATCTTCCCAAGGTTTGCCTTCTAAGTAAATTCCCCTTAAGTAAAAAACTACCTAGAAGAGTAGGCTGACCTAATTTTCCTTTAGTAGAAAAAGGTTTCTGAAGTTCATCTGAGTTACTGTCTAAAAGTTTTAAGGGCTGTGAAGGTGGCTCAGTGGTAGGTTGCTTGCCTTGCACAAACAAGCCCCTAGGTTTGATTCCTCAGCACCACATAAGTAGAAAAAGTTGGAAGTGGCCCTATGGCTCAAGTGGTAGAGTGCTAGCCTTGAGCTGAAGAACAGAGTTCAGGCCCTATGGACCCCCTTTCCCCCCAAAAGTTTTCATACTTGTATGCTTTTTATATTTCTGGATTTACATTTACATGAAAGGGGTTTGTGGACTGGGAAAAGTTAAGATTGCCTGAGTGGGGTACTTGAGATTTGTTGTTGGTTTTTTGAAGGGTTTTAAATGAATTATTTGTCCATTATGCAAAGGCAAAAATAAGCCCAGGTGCATGTAAGCCTAGAATCTACTCTTGAGGTCTGAAGACCACTCTATGCGATCCAGCCCTGTCAGGAAAGTCAGGATTCTTCATTCTCAAGCAAAAGGCCAGAGGAGGGGTTGTGGATCACGTGGTAGCATGCCAGCTTTGGAAAAAACAGGTGAAGTCTGGAGTTGAAGCACCTGTAGAGGCACATTTAAAAAGGCTAAAATAAAGACTTCAGGTTCATCCCATTTTAAACTACCCTTTATACTATCTCTTGTATTTGGTACCTGATGTCCTGAGTTTTCATTCTGTACAGGCAGAGGCTAGTCTTTTTTTTTTTTTTGGTCTCTCCTTCCCGGGCTGGCTTTGAACTGCGATCCTCAGATCTGAGCCTCCTGAGTAGCTAGGATTACAGGCATGAGGGTAGTCATTTAAAATTAAAATTTGTTTCAACATTCATTCATGCTAAAAGCTCTGGAGAAAATGGGAATAGAAGGAACATTTCTAAAAACAATAAAAGCCATTTATGACAGACCAATAGCCAATATTATACTTAATGGGGAAAAGCTACAACCAATCCTAAAATCAAGAACAAGGCAAGGATGCCCACTGTCTCCACTCCTCTTCAACATAGT